CTGTTGTGCGGGAGTTCGAAGGTTCAAGCCCCGACCGGACCAACACTCAGCAGGGTCTTAAAGTAACTGAGGAGGATGTGCTTCCTTTCTATAACATCAAGAAATGTATAGACATTCTAGTCCGATAAGGACGAATAAACCGTTTCCTTCATCTATTAGTTAATTTGGTTAGGCAGGGGACGTTAAAGAATCCCCTCACGAGATTACTGTGATATGGTCTGGCCTGTTTACTGGGAACTGGGGGAAGGGGGCATCTGTTAAATTCGCCTCTATTTGATTGTAAACTGCTTAGCAGTCTGGTAAAAGTCCCCTGCACAGTGTTGTAAAGCGCCATGAGCTCAGGATATGAACGCTATATAAATAAAAGATATTATTACTTCCTTTTAAAGGGGAACTTCCGTTATCAACCGGGAAAATTCTGCTGCTTTTACGACCTCGATGACGTCAGTCTCGCAGAGGTGCTCGCCCAGAATATAACATTCGCCGTGTTTACGTTCAGCGTAATCTCTTTCGGTTATTTTAGGATATTTCTAACAAATTGGAAACAAAATGCTACTCTGCATAACAGACCCAATAATTCTCCAAGCGTTTCTGCCAAGGATCTAAACGTTACAAGGCTTCGTTTGTTGTTTTATGGTTTAAATTTTACATTGCAGCCAAGGGGCTGAATTGCATAATATTTTACAATGATATACTATGTTCTATCCAGTCATCAGTCATACGTCACTACGGAGTCACATGAGAAGCACGCGCGCTTGCTTATCTAGCCATTGTACGTTCGCTTTCTTAGCCTGCAGTACAGAACCACAGTGGTCCAGTATTCAAACCTTTGTAATGAGTATATACCCAGTCTATGTCATCTCTTTACCCTCTGCCCATTTTTCTATCTTAGCTTTTTACAGAAATCTAGCTGACAGTTATTATTATCATGGCCAACGAGGCAACGCAAATAGTCGTTGAAGCCGAAATCACTGGCCAACCTGGCTTTTTGGGCGGTCAACCTGACCATTCTAGACAACCTGCCGAAATTGAAATAACTAGCCAATCTGGCACTGAAACACTTGCGAGACCCTCGCAGAAATGAACAAATCTATGAGCTCTATGGCAACACTCCTCGAACAGTTTGTTGCTCGCGGGGAGCCTCCCCAACGTTTTACACAACAATACGACGTTGAGGATGAGGAATCCGAACCCGCGCCAAAACGTAGACGCGACTTTGATGAGCTCAGCACCACAGCTTCGGACCAAGATATCGACGAATTGATCAATCGTTCGGGTACCTGCGCCGAGGATGAGTCGCCAACCCAAACGGCCAATGAGCCTGATGAATTTATCAAGTCTCGAAGCCGAATTTGCCGACTCCGTTCCAGTTGGGCCGGAAATCAACCAAAGCCTAGCAAACATTGCGAAGAAACGCTGGGGAATAACTTTACCGCCAGAAAAGCTAAAACCACTGCTTGAAAAGCATGTTCAGCCCGAAAACTGTGGGCTCCACGTAGCTCAGGTGAACAAGGAAATCTGGGGTCAATTAGCAAACCACCAGAAAAAAGCAGACAAACGCCTTCAGAATATACAGGAAACCCTTCAGAAGGCTTCCTACGCGCTGCTTAAGTCATCTTAGCCATTCTTTGGCGATATTTCCGAAAGATCTAAAATGCATCTGGCCCAAAATATTGATGCTAATGCTTTATTAGGCCATGCTGCGGGAGATATCATTGGCTTGAGGCGGGAACGCATTAGACCAATGCTGAAACCAGAATATGCCTCCTTGTGTACAAAAGAATCACAAGATAATGTTTCAAAACACCTCTTTGGCGAGGACTTGGCGAAGCAAGAACGTGGTGCCAAGGAGACGGGCGCAATCGGCAAAAAGATTGGCGCCAACGCGCACAAAAAGCCAATGGGACCCACCCGCCCATACTATTCGAAGAATGAGTTCCGCCGCGATAGAGGTAAGTTTAGTAAAGGCTTCTATGGCGATCACTACAGCAAGGATCGTTTTTTAGTGAAAGCTCAGAGGAAGCCTCAAGGGAAACCGAAGGCGAAAAAATAATATCCATGCTGCGCGACATAAAAAATTCGGTAAGTAATTTTCCCAGTGTCTTCAGTGACATACACGAATGGG